GCTGAAAGACGGGAAGACGCTTACATCCATCCATCCATCTATCTATCTACATACATACAGACATAAAACGCCTTATACATTTGCGATGCGCGACGTATTGGCATATAACTTCAGCGCTTGTGAGCGTGGCTTTCATGTATGGATACCGAGAAACTATATAAATACGTGCAAAATCCGTCATTAGTCCAAAATCCAGTAGGAAGAGGCAAAACGTCCCTTTCTGGGAATGCTTTCCATTAAATTTAAGTGGTGTGAGCAAGGCAATAAAATTTTCTCATTTCAAAAAAAAAAAAAGTGTTTTTAAAGTCTCACTCGAGGTGATTTAAGGTGCTTTTGCAACAGTTTATTAAATTATGTAATAGGGAACAGAGGATTTGAAGGTCGGAAACTTCCACCCAAATCAGGTGGAAGAGGGGTGAAGGAGCCCGGGCTTATCCCGATGGAAAATCGCCTGAGCCGAAGGGTAACAAAAATAAACGCATCCTCCCGCCTCATCTATTATTCATTTACTACTCCTGCCGGCTCGAGCCGTGCCAGACCATTTCATAAAGACGGCCAAATATTTTAGCGACTTCCACTCTAAATATTTACCCGGAGAAAGGCTAAAAATCCCGAGGCCTATTGTTTTCTCAAGTGCTAAGCCCGATGCGAGGTGCGAGACGAGCTTTAACAAGGTTTAAAATTTGAGAAATGTGTTTGCATGGGATGCCCGCACTGAAGTCATTGTGTCTGAGCGGATGTCTTTAAGAAACAATTTAGGTGCTAATGGAATTTAATGTTAAATGCTTCCCCCTTCAAAGGCGGGGGGGATGTGGAGTTCTCACCTCCAAATTACTCCCCGGCATTGGGGAGTCCTGGCAGCCGGGCGAGAGGAATCCCTATGAAAATTAAATGAAGTATTTTACAGACGTTTAGTTTTCCCAGCGGATGTGCGTTTATCTCGAATATCCATACACGAAACAATCTGCCCGGCCTTAAATCTGTCGGTAATGGTTTCCAGTTTAACAGGATAGCGGATTTGGTACCGAGGCGAAACGGCTCGATGCCTTTTTTTTTTTTT